GCTGGGAAGTCCCCAGCAGACAGCGCCGCCACGGCCGCGTCCGTCGCGCCAGACTAGCCAGCCGCTCTTTGCGCGAGCGCGCGCGCCAGCGCGGCCACAGCGATGCGCCATCCCGAGCCTGGCAGTCATTGCGATCACCGCCGCATGGCTTTTGCAAACCACGTTGCGGGCGAGTGGGTGGGATGCTTGCGAGAGAATGGGAGGGGCGCGCGCGGTGCAGGGTAGTCAATAGCGCAGCATCCACCTGCGCCGCATAGTTTGCACAGCTTATATTGTCCTATCAAAAAACCATAAGAATCTACCCCCTGGGTGGACGGTTCGCCTCGTCGTCTTGACGCATGATTATGCCCCGTCGTCCATCCTACATATATACTCATGCCGCCCCAGCCCAACCAGCATCGACACCCGCCCGTCGCCTTTAGTAAAACGCACCTCGCGCGCGGGCTCGTCTATCGCAAATCATCCGTTTTCAAAAACCCCTCGCCAGAAATGCGACGAAGTGCTCGCGCGCGCGTCGTCGCGCGCGCGTGCCGGGATATTTCATAACAGCAAACCAGGCTTCGTTCAGATCTCAAAGTCGGCCGCCCAACAAACATTTAAAGCATGGGCTTCGGCGCGCGATTTTGCAAACGCAGACTTTCGTACATTCTTGCGACTTCTTGTGGACACCATCGGTTCCCGTAAAATTTTCATGCTAAATCGGGTTTTGCGCGCGCGTCGGAATCTTTCGAGCGCCTTCGCGCGCGTGCTGTTGCGAGAATCATTTTGCAACAAATGGGGCGGAGTGCGCGCGCGCGTCGTCGCGAGCGAGCGCCGGAACGCGCCGGGGGTCGTAGATTTCGCATGGGCTTTCAGAACCGAGGGCCCCGAAACCATATATCTCCGAATGGCTTTGCAACGTCAGTTTTCCACACAACTTGCGCTCGCGCCCTTGCGAATTCTGAAGAGCACTATAGGGTCGTTTACAATGTGTTCACGGCGTTCTGCCAAACGGGCTTCTTGCGCCGCGCACCGATATCGCGCGATCGCCGCTGCGCACCCGCGGGGGGGGTGGGGCGCGATCCGGTCCGCGTCAAACATCGCCGCGCGGCCACTCGAGCTTCGGCCGCGCGCGCACGTCGGAATCCTTCCAAGACTTTCGTCACCGACACGGGGGCGCCGGCATCGTCGTCGGCGTGATCAGCATCGGCGCCGTCACTGGCCGCGCCGTCGTTGCTGTCCGCATCGCCACCAGCAGCGCCTCTATCATCATCGTGTCTACCGTTGCCGACGTTGCCATGATGCCGCGCCCGCCCACGTCATGAACTCGCACTTATGCGCCCGCTGGGACGCTTCCGGCGGCCAGCGCCACCGCGGCCGCGTCGGTCGCGCCAAACTAGCTGGACGCTGCGCGCGCGCATGCGCGGGCTGGCGCTGCCGCAGAGATGCGCCAGCCTTCGCCAAGCATGTATCGCAATCGCCGCCGCGCGGATTTTGCAAACCAAGTTGCGGGTGGGTGGGTGAGATGTCTGCAAGAGCATGGACTGGATCAGCTCGTTTGTGGAAATATATTGCAACACGTGGATTGCTCCACATTGGTGGCGCATCTTGGATCGCTCCACGTAGAGTGCACATCATATAGTGCCCAGAATACAATGCGCCACGTAGATGGCAGTGCATACGTTGCGTACCCTTGCACTTTTTAGGCTGCACCACGTTGGCTGCGCCATATCCCTCGCGCAGAATCGTTAAATATACATACATCGCACAAGGTGGCTCGCACCGCGCGGGCTGCTCCACGTGGATTCTGCTTTCTAACAACCCGGGCCCCCCCGGGATTACCCAGGCAGCTTTCCAATTGGAAATTCAATGATGACCCTGACCCGTCGTTCATCCGAACTGCAAATTCTTGCCATCACCGCCGAGCCGGTATCGATTGGCGCCGTCGTCCTTGCCCAATAATATCATGCGCGCGCACTTTTTCATCTTCAAAGGTTCTTGTCCCAGCATCCCCTGCAAGAAAATCACAAAACGCACGCGCGCGCGTCGTCGCGCGCGCGCGCCGAAATCCCTCATCACCTTAGGTTTCGCAAGGGCTTCGGGATCGATGGCGCCGAAAACGTGTAAAACAACCAGTGGCTTCCCAGCGGAGATGTTCAAAGAAGCTTGCGTCGCGCCCCTGCGAAGTCCAAAGAAACCGTTGGGATTTCAAGATTTCCATCAAATGCAACCAGACGAGCCCCTCGCGCGCGCACGTCGAAATCATTCGAATGCCCCTGCGCGCGTGCGGTCGCGAGAACTTTTGAAGCAAATGAAACGGAGCGCGCGCGAGCGCCGTCGCGCGCGCGCGGGAACCCTTTTCAGCCACCTGGGGATTCGCATGGCTTCCATCATTGAGCTCGCAACGTTTATTTTGCTTTCTTTTCAATGTATGAACAAATGGTTTTGACATATGTGTTCCCCCAAGAACTGAAGCATGCGCGCGCCCTTTCGGGGCCTAGAGAAACCCATTCGATCTTAACGTTTTTCAGCAAGAGCGACCAACCGGCCTTCTCGTGCGCGCATGTCGAAATCAGTCGAAAGTCCTCGCGCGTGTGCTGGGCAGGGCAGGCGCGATTCCTGTCAAATAATAACATGTGGGCCTTTCGCGCGCGTTGGCCGCGCGTGCATGTCGACCCCACCCCCGAAATTTCCATCACCGACGCGCGAACATCATCATCGCCGTCGGCGTGCCCTGCCCTGTTCATTTCCTTTTTTTCGGCGCGTTTACCAAACGACTTCGCGTGTCGGGTGCTTATTCTGCGGGTGGACTTTTGAATTATAATGATACCGCGCCCGCCCGAATCACGTCAGAGCGGCCTGCGGCGCGTGCCGGGAAGTCACCGGCGGTGAGCGCCACCGCGGCCGCGTCCGCGGCGCCAGCGCGAGCCTGCGCGCGCTGGCACGGCTGGCTCACTGCACAACAAGGATTGCGCCACATCTGTTGCACCACTTGAGACTGCATGACGTATGTCAAACCGCATAGATTGCACCAGTTGGATTTGCACAAAATGTACTGCACCACGTAGCGTGCACACTACATGTTGCACCACGCAATGTGCACCGCACCCATGCACCACATGGGTTGCACACCATACGCCGCACCGCATATACGTGTCGCACCATACGGATGGCCAAAAACACACTATTCGGGGCCCGCGCTGCTAATATACGTGTACAGTGACCGTCGGCCCCTCCCGCCACCGTGCTTGGGTTGTGGGCCGGAGTTGTCAGGGGTGTTCCCGGGGGTCTCTTCGGAACGCTGTCGGGGGCCTCCTGGGGCCGGTGTTCGGGCCTCCTTCGGGGGCCTCTTGGGGGTTCCTCTTGGGGGGCCTCCTGGTGCCGCTTGCGGGCGTCTTAGGGGGGGTCTCTTAAGGGCCTCCCGCCGGGCCTCTCGGGACCCAGAGCTCGAAATCTTCGCTCGGGTCCCCCACCGGAACCCCCCATTGGAGCCGTCTTTGGGGCCCATTGGGCCGGGCGCCTCGTGGAACGTTTTAGGGCCCTTTTGAGCTGTTTTGGGGCCCCGTTGGAGGCCTCTTGGGCCGTCTTGGGGCGATTTTGGGGGCCTCTAACGTCGGCAAACGCGACAGGCGCGAACGCCAAACACTTTTAAAAGCCGATGGAACATTCACTGATTTTGACCTCTTGGCGCCCTCTTGGGAGGCCTCCTGGGGAGTCTTGGAGGCCTTCTGGGCCGTTTGGGAGTCATCTTGCGCGTCTTGGGCCGATCTATGGGCGTATCGGGGCTTTCTTCGACCGTCATCGAGGCCCTCTTGGGGCCATTTTGGCCCGTCTGGCACTCTTGGGCCCGAGAGAAGCATGCGGGAAGCCGCGGGGGAGCTCAGAGGGCACGTGACTAGCCCCCGTAGATTTCGGAGTTTGGGGTCCGGGCCCTTTTAGCCCTCAGGACTGAAGATTGAGGCTCAGGGGATTGGGCAAAGGACCTGAGGACACGCCCACTCCGTGCCCAGCGGCGCGGTGGCGTATGTATGTATGCACTTCGCATCCCACTCTCTCCCGTCCATCTCCTACCATCGTCCCTCTTCCGTTCTACTCCACTTCCGTTGCAAGGGGACCAGAGCGGAAACAGTCAGAGGAAGGGGAGGACACAGATGGAGTATGTGAGCGAGGGGGGGAGGACGACAAGGAGGAGGAGAAGGTTTTGAGGTGGAGGTCCACGGGGAGTAAAACGAGCAGCAATGTGCAGCGGAGTAGTGGGAGGAGGAGGGTGAGGAGGAGTAGTGGGAGGAGGAGGAGTAGGAGGAGGAGGAGGAGGAGGAGGAGGAGAAAGAAGGGCAGGAGCAAGCAATCAGGCAGATCTTGCGGGCCGCAGCCATCTCAAGCTGCGACAACCTAGACACGAGCTCATGTTGCCTCGACCATGGAGGAGAGGAGGGAAGAAGGAAGGAGGAACAGGAGGCGGCAACGAGGCGGCCACTTGGCGGCCACTTGCGGCGGCGCGGCTAAGTCTCGGCGGACCCGTCCAGAGCCTGAGTGAGTCAAGAGATAACCTCTGAGTGCAACCACTGCTTGGATCAAAACGGCTGCTGTGAAGCTGTGGAGAGCTCACAGGACCTCACGCTGGAGACGTGCAGACGTCCGAGGCATGGGCGGGCTCGAAGCGAGCAGCCCCCCGGCTCCCTTGCCCTTCCCCAGGGACGCGGTCTTTGACCCGGCCCCCCCCAAAAACGGGCGCTTTTGCGGCGCCTCAGCTTCAGCTCCTTACACGGAGCCACGAAGCGTCTAAGACTATGCGCCAACATGGGCATGCGGGGAGCAGCGGCAGGAGGAGGGGGAGGACGAGAAGGAGGGGGAGGAGGCCAACGATGAGGAACAGGAGGGACGAGGAGGTGAGAGGGCGGGACTCAGCGCCGGGGCTTCAGAGCGAGGGCCGAGCTCTCCACGCGAGAGCTGGGAAGCAGGTTGGCTCAAGGCTATGGCATCTCAGGAGTAGCTGGTGCAGCGCACCCGCCCCGCTCGCCATGATGACCTCCCTGCTGCTGCACGTGGCATCCGCTGGCTTTGCTGCCGCCGCTCGCTTGGGAGAGGCGCCGCCGATGGGCTGGAGGAGCTGGAACGCCTTCCAGCTCGAGGTGGGCGCCGACAAGATGCATCGGCAGGCGGTGGCCCTCGCGTCCAGGCTGCCCAGCAAGGGGCCCTCTTTTGGCACGCTGCTCTCCCTGGGCTTCCGCGACGTCGGTGTCGACGACGGCTGGCAGGACTGTGGCGCCGGCTACAATGGCACCTTCCATAGCGAAGCTGGCATCACGCTGGTGAACACTTCCCGCTTCGACAACCTCAGCGACATGACGAGCAGGGCGCGGAGCTTGGGCGTGAGCATGGGCTGGTATCTGAACAATTGTTGGTGTTCAGAGCTTGGGAGGATCCCTGGGGGTCATGGCAACGCTGTGGACGACCTGCGGCTGATAGTCGGGGCAGGTTTCGCGAGCGTCAAGATCGATGGTTGCGGCCCCGCGCACGGCATGGAGTTGTGGACTGACGCTTTGAAATATGTGGGCGCAGAGGGCGCACTGCTGGTTGAGAACTGCGGGAATAATAGGAAGCTCGAGGATGTTTGGTCCCCAGAGGAAGGCTTGCCGTCTGAAGGGAACCCTCTGCCAGTCTGGGTACCAGCCAGCCCCGACGACGTGCGGGGTGAGAAATGCGAGGGGTTCCAGACGTACCGCGTGTCGAGAGATATCTCCCCACAGTTTTTCTCCACCATGTGGAACTTGCAGCAGATGCTGCCCTTCCTTGGGGAGGAGCCTCTCTCGCGGCCCGGCTGTTGGGCGTATCCGGATATGTTGCAGGTCGCAAACCAGCTGAGCTTCCAGGAGTCTCGGTCGCATTTCGGCGCTTGGTGCGTGACCTCGTCGCCATTGGTGCTTGGGTTCGACCTGACGAACACGACGGTGTTCGACGAGGTCTACTCGATCGTCGGCAACGAGCTGGCGATCTCCGTGGACCAGTCCTGGGCGGGCCACCCCGGCCGGCTGGTGAAGCAGTCCCCCGACAGCATCACGGTGGAGGTGGCGCACACCGCAGATGCCGCCCTTGCCGACCAGAGCTGCAGGTACCCCGTCGGCAACGTCGACACGTTCGGCACGCCGCGGTGTGAGCGGACGACCCTGCCACGCTGGCAGGTCTGGAGCAAGCCGATGCCCGATGCCGCAGTGGCCGTCTTCTTCGTGAACATCGGCGACGCTCCCTTGGAGAAGATCAGCGTTTCGCTTGCGGAGCTCACCATCGACTCGAAGCAGGAGGTGGTCGTGACCGACATATGGAAGCAGGAGGCTGGCGTCCAGAGGATTCCGCCCGGTGGCGAGCTCTCGGTGAGTGGCCTGCCAAGTCACGACAGCGCTTTCTTTCTCCTCGAGCCGGTGGTTAAGTACGACATGGGTCGGACTGTCGCGGTGTAGTGCGGGTATGCGTGTTGCCTGGGGTGTCGGCAGGAGGCCCAGAGATGCCACGCCGTGCGCCAAACCCAGACCCCCTTCGGGTCATGAAACAATCATGACGGGGGGTTTTCCGATGTTTTCGGCCTCTGGGGGCCCTTACTCCTTACTGGCCCTCGGGACCGTCAAGCAACGATTCAGGATAAAGCCAGTCTCGGGGAGTGGGTCCAGACCGCTGGGGGATCCACGTCATGAAAAAATCATGACGTTGGGGGTCTGGGAAGGGAGTGGGCAGGAAGGAATCAGGACGACGGGTAAAACAGCAAGAGAAAGCCTCCACAGGCTGGATCTTTATGCAAGTGGCTCACTCCATTCCGCCGGCCCCCAGAGGAGAAACGACGTCTACGGGTGTGGCCTTTTGCCCCGGGGGCACCGCTCGAGGGGCCTCTTGGGGGGCATCTCCTGGGTCCCCTGTGGTGCCTCTTGGAGACTCCTGGGGGTCTGGTGGGCGCCTGCTGGCGGTCTCGTGGGTCCTCTTTTTGGACCTCGGCATCGCTCGGACGTGTGCATTTTTTCTCGGCGAGAACCCTCGAGGACCATCCTGGACCATCGAGCCCAAAAGACACACACGCACGAACCCGAAACGTGCCCGGGACATGGCCGCCCGAGCGACGTGCAAGTGGACCTCTGCCCACGGCTCCCCCGCCGGCCCCTCGCGGGGCCGGGAGGCGCGAGCCATGCGAGGGACCTCTCAGCAACACCGACCGCTCACGGGGAGCACGGCGTGCGCGCCGGGCGCGCGTGCGGGGTATGGGCCGGCTGGGGCCACGATGGGTGCCACGGTCCGTTCCACGGTGTTCCCCTTGGCGTCGCTCGGAGGTGTGCACTTTGTCCTTCGGCGAGGGCCGTAGAGGGGCATCCTTGAGCACTTGGCGAGAAAACCACGCGCGGAAGCGAGCAAACACGGAGGGAGTGGACGTCCGAGCGATGGCCAGTTCCGGGGCGCTCTCTCGCATGAGCGCGCCGGGGCGCTCCGCGAGGAGGCCGCGCGCGGCCCGAGGCAGCCTCCCGAGCCGCCAGAGCTCGGATATACGATCGAGCAGTATATCTCTCCTCGCCCTGTCTCGGCCTCGTCCCGGCCTCGTCTCCGTCGGGCGCCCGCCGGCCCCCAGTCGGGGGCGGAAAAGAGGGGGGTGATGACTAGGGGGGGGTGGATATCATGGCGGGGGCCATGATATTTTCCCAGATTTCATGGCGCCTCTTCTTGTTTCATTACGTCCCAGGCCCCCCCGCTGGGCCGCGCACATGCCGCCAGTCATGATTTGCACCCCCCCCTCTTGGACACCCCCCTCTTGGCCGCTCCCGACACCAGGCTGCTGCGGGGCAAGCCGCGGAACTGGAAGGCCAAGATACGGGGCCTGCCCTACGAAGGCGGGCGGCCGCGGGGCGGGGGTCCCCCCCTCGGGGCGCCGCGGCTCCGGGGCCCGCGGGGCGGAGCGAGGAGCGAGAGTCCAGGAGGAGGAGCAGGGTCGTCGGGCAGGGCCGAGGAGCTCTTCGCACGTGCTCGGTGGCGGGCTCCTTCTGGCCACCTGCCGCCCGGGTCGCGAGGTGCTGCAGGACGCGCGTGCGGCAGGCTGGGCTCGGACGTGCGCCTCCGAGGGGGCGCATGGTGCTGGGATGGCCTCGTGCTGCGTCCTGCCCCGCTCCTCAAGGAAGCGCCAGCACGGGTCAGCGACGGGTCCCGCTGCCGTGCAGAAGCGGCGCGCCCCGTCGCCAAGGCCGGGCGGCCTTGTCCGCAGGCTTCGGGGAGCACCTTCCCCGACCCGCGGCATCTGGCGCCCACGCGCCAGGTCCACGGATCCCTGATCCATGTCAGCGTGCGCCCTATGACTCCGCAGCCGCTACAGGCCCAAGACGGTCCCCCGGGTGGCCGCAGGCACGCCGCCGCGCCATGCCCCGGGCGCCGGGGCGATGGCCTGCTGCCGGGGCCCCGCGCGCGCTCGGCCGCGTGAGCCCGCCGCCGGGGCGGCATGCGCGCGCCGCGGCGGGGCTCGCTGCTGCCCCCGCCGAAAGCGCGCGCCCGCGGCCTGCCGGGCGCGGGCACGCGGGCCTTTCTCGCGCGGCCCGCGCACCCACGTCGGTCCGAGCCGCAGGTCGTCCCGTTCAACCTGCGCATCGCCGCGTGCGCCCGCGGGGCCGCCTGGGCAGAGGCCCTGCGCCTGCTGCTCGAGATGCGCCGGCGGGGCCCGAGGCCCGACATAGTGAGCTACAACAGTGCCGCGCACGCGTGCGCAGCCGCGACCCTGTGGCAGCGCGCCGCCGGCATCTTGTGGACCCTGAGGCGGGGCGGCGGGCCCGCGCCAGACGCGGCGACCTTTGCGGCCGTCGTGAAGGGCCTCGGCAAGGGCGCCGTGTGGCAGCGCGCAGTCGCCGTGCTCGCGGACATGGGCCGCGCCCGGGTGCGCCAAGACACCCTGAGCTTCGTCTCGGCCATCGACGCTTGCGGGAGCGCGGCCTGCTGGCCAGCTGGCATCGCGCTGCTCGGGGAGATGCTCCGCTGCGGCCTCCCGCTGGGCATCCACGCGCTGAGCGCGGTGGCCACGGCCTGCGTGCGGGGCGCGCGCTGGCAGGGCGGCCTGGCGCTCCTGCACGGCGCTGCCGCCGCGGGGCTGCGGCTGGACGAGGTCGCCATCGGTGCCGGGCTGCAGGCGTGCGCCGCGGGGGCGCGGTGGGACGTCGGCCTGTCGCTCCTCGAGCGGGCGTCGCGCCAGGCCGTCAGGCAGGGCGCGCCGCTGCTCGAGGCGGCGGTCGCGGCGTGCGCCGCCGGCGGCCAGTGGGCCCGGGCGCTGGCCCTGCACGGGCGGCACGGCGCGCCGACCGCCGTGGGCTGCAACCACGCCCTCACGGCCTGCGAGCGCGGGCGGCAGTGGCAGGCGTGCCTCCTGCTGCTGCGCGAGATGCCGCGGGCGAGGCTGGCCGCGGACGCCGCCAGCTTCGTGGCCGCGGCCCGCGGCGCGGCCGCCGCGCCGTGGCCCCTCGCGCTGGCGCTGCTGTCGGAAGCGCGGGCGCGGGGGCTGGCGCTCGGCTCCTTCGGGGCCCTCGCGGCGGTGGGCGCCTGCGCCAGCGGCGGCCAAGCAGGGCGACGAAGGCCCAGGTCCGCTGGCCGCCCCCGGCCAGGCCCGTCCTGGGCCCGGGAGCGGCGTGTGCGCCCGCCCAGGATGGGTCTGTCAGGGGGCTCCTGGATATACACTGATTTTTCTTACTACTAGGAGTATCATTTTTGATATTGCGAAGGCCTTGCGGCCGGTGCCGCCGACCCTGTTCCCAATGAGCAGCAAGAGACATGGTATGGGTGTGTGCGGTAGGGGGGTAGGGGGGAGAAGGAGGAGAGGAGGAGGAGGAGGAGGAGGAGGAGGCGGAGGAGGAGGAGGAGGAGGAGGAGGAGGAGGAGGAGGAGGAGGAGGAAGTGCATCCCGTGTGTGCCCACTCGAGGAAAGTGCGCCCGGGGAGGCGTCGTATTTGACCCGCTGCCCCCCCCCGGGACCCCCCCTCGCTACAGTATACTCCCCCCCCCGGCGGGAGGGTAGGGAGGGGCTTCGCCACGATCACTACGATGTTCGATTTCCTTCTGCATGGGTCGGTTTGGCTGGCGCGGAGGAGGAGGACGACGAGGAGTAGGAGGAGGGGGGGGAGGAGGAGGAGGAGGAGGAGGAGGAGGAGGAGGAGGAGGAGGAGGAGGAGGAGGAGGAGGAGGAGGAGGAGGAGGAGGAGGAGGAGAAAGTGCATCCCGTGTGTGCCCGCTCGAGGAAAGTGCGCCCGGGGAGGCGTCGTATTTGACCCGCTACCCCCCCCCGGGACACCCCCTCGCTACTTTGATCGTCGGGTGGCTGTAAGTGCGGTAAGAGCGTTCATCTTACATAATCTTAGTTAAGCCATAGAACGTACACTTGTTGATCGCGCATCTCATGTGTGCATATGCAATACTTATGGTGTTTGTAAGTGTAGATGTAAGTAATATACTAAGTTAGATCTCTCTGCTAAGTCGATGGGGCTGAACATATTCGTGTTTATGCTAATCATTTGCGTATTTTTTATTCTTAACTGTTTTTGAAATCCATTGAATTTCCGTTGTTGTTGTTGTTGTTCAGTTGTTCAGGACCGAGGCGCCGCAGGTACTTGCTGTACCTCGCGGCCGCGGCGCTGCGGGTTGCGCGCATGCCCGCGGGGAGGGGGGAGGGAAGGAGGAACATGTTTGTCCATGTGTCTTCGGCCCTCCCTTATCCCCCCTTTCCTTCGGCGGCGCACCGCCTTCTCCTCCGTCGCCTCGTCCTCCGTCGGCGGTAAACCGCCTTCTCCCCCCCCCATGGCGGCAATCCGCCTTCTCCCCCTCCGTGGCGGCAAACCGCCCTTCTGGCGGCAAACCGCTTTCTCCTCCTCTGGCGGCAAACCGCCTACCCCTTCTGGCGGCAAACCGCCTTCTCCTCCTCTGGCGGCAAACCGCCTACCCCTTCTGGCGGCAAACCGCCTTCTCCTCCTCTGGCGGCAAACCGCCTTCTCCTCCTAATGGCGGGAAACCGCTTCTTCCCCCCCCGCCCTATCGGCGGCTTGCTTTGCCGCCTCCCTCCACCCCCTCGGCGGCAAGCCGCCCACCCCTTTCCCCCCTCCCCTCCCTGGCCTCTCCTTCACCCACCCTCCCCCATAGCTCTCTTCTTCCCCCCCGCGCACCCTTCGGCACCCCCTCCCCCGCCCCCCCTTCGACACCCTCTCCCCCCTGCGCCCCCCCTCACCCAGGAGGAGGAGGAGGAGGAGGAGGGAGAGGAGGAAGAGGAGAAGGAGGAGGAGGAGGAGGGGGAGGAGGGGGAGGAGGGGGAGGAGGAGGAGGAGGAGGAGGAGGAGGAGGAGGAGGAGGAGGAGGAGCAGGAAGAGCAGGAGTAGGATATGTCCGTCGCACGCGCGTTGGCTCGAGCCGTTTTTGGCGAGCCCTCCTCCGAGGGCTTCGGGCGGCGTGCGCGCGCGGGGAGTCGCGCACTCCGCTCGGCGCGCGGTCGCGCCGCATCGCTGCCATGGAGGGCATCCTTCGAGGCCGCCTGGAGGAGGCGCGGGCGGCGTTCGTAGCGCGCGGCAGTGCGACGGAGCACCTTCCTGCCTGCATCCAGGCGGCGACGTCCCAGCGCTGGTCGCAGCTCCAGAGTGCGCAGTTTGCTGCTTTGGGCGGCGGCGTGGGGTGGGCGCAGTCCGAGCTGGGAGACTTCTTGCAGGCTCTGTCGTCGGGCAGCCTGCAGGGGGGAAGCTCCAGAACTACGAGGGGTTCATTGAATTTCTGACGCCTCAGTTGTGGGAGTTCGTGCTCTCGCCGCATTCGGGCTTCACTGCCAAGATGGCGGCGTTCTCAGAGCACCTCGGGGCGCTTGGCTTGAGGCATCCGAGCTGCCCGACGGCCGCCAATATGGCAGCATTCTTGTTGCTGGTGTGCAAGCAGACAGGCGTGGAGACGGGCGAGATCACGAGGGAGCTGTTGCAGTCATATCTGGCCACAGTGAAATCCTCGTTCAAGAATCTCGTGGCGACGATGCCGCCGCCCAGGGATGGCATCCAGGCTCTCCCCATCACGCCTGGGAGGCTCCAGTCTCAGTACCCCATCACGTACGTCGACGCCTTCCCGCCAGGTGTTGGAGCGACGGCGCCGCAGATAAATCCCGTCGAGATGGTGACGATTGCGAAGCTGATTAATCTCCGCGCAGGGAATAAGAGCGGCCACCTCGCGCTGCCCGCGCCTGCGCCCGCCCGCGGCGGGCTGCAGCCATCCCGCGGCCCAGGCGGCGGCTCTCCTCAGCAGCGCCTCCCCATCGCGGCGGCCGGTTCGTTCTCTGGGCGCTGGCCGACGGCTCCACGGGGAATAACAGAACGCATTCCCCCGCGGGACACGCGGTATTGGGTCGAGGGGTGGGTTCCTGGATCGGCGCGGGGTGCGTTTCTGGATGCCTGGATCGAGGGCGTGTTGCGAAATATTTCCCCCCCCCCATCCCCCGGGGGGGACGGGGGGGGGGGGGTATTTTCGTTCGGCGGTGATCCGCCTGATTTCAGGTGTGGCTTTCGCACAGCGGCGGCCGCTGGCCCAACCCAGCCATCCAGCTGATCGACCGCTCGCAGACGCAGCAGCCGCAGGAGCCGTTGCAAGAACGAGCAGGTTCGAACCACCAGCTTTCGATGGCGGCGGGGAGTTCGGATGCGCCGTCGACGCAGCAGCTGGCGGCACACGATGGCGGCAAACCCGCCGACTGTCAGCCGTTATTGAGCACCGCCGCCGCCCAGACGGCCTCGATCAGCAAGAGCCGCGCGGCGAAGAAGCAGAAGAAGCATGAGCTGCCGATCGAGCTCGACTCCGACTCCGACTTCGGCATCGTCGCCGCGACGCCGCCGCCCAAGGCTGAGAAGGTCGGCATCGCCGCAGGCTCTCTGAAGAAGACCCCGACGGAGGCGGCTCTGGCCATGGTCGCGGCCATGGATAAGAGGGCGAAGGCGGTCAAGACGAAAAAGAACGCCGGGGCGGTGATGGCCCCCACGCCTGCCGCGGGCAATGCTGCTAAGAAGACGACGCCGCCTGGCAAGGACAACGCGGCAAAGAAGACGACGCCGCCTGCCACGGGCAACGTGGCTAAGAAGAAGACGCCGCCCCCCCACGGGCAAGAAGACGGACGGCGCGGCTAAGAAGGACAAGCAGCGCAAGTGGGCGAAGCCGAGGTGGGAGATGCAGACCGCGCGCAACTTGGCGAGCGGGGTTGAACCTCCCACCGATGAGGCGTCGGGCGCGCGCGGCGATTCCCAGCAGCTCCGCTGGGGTCGCAGTTTGCGCGCCCGCCGCCTTCAGGCGACTGTTCATCGTTGCTCCGCCCCCCAGGTGCAGTTCCGCAGCGGCGGGCTCGGCGCCACTGGCAGCAACGTCAGCCTGAAGTACATCGCGGGCGATGAGGCCGACAAGGCCAGATTCTCACCGGCGCCCTTCTCGACGCCCTCCTCCGCGCTCTCTTCATTTTCGCCCCTGCCTCGACGCCCCCTCCGCCCCCTGCTGTCTCGTTGCGCCCGATCGCTCCGAGGCCAGGGCCATCGCGGAGGCGGAGGGGCTGGTCAAGAAGGAGCTCGCCGCCAGGGCGCGCGGCGAGTAATTCGCGCTACGACTCTTCAACTCTCCAGGCCAACGGGGCGGCCTCGGGAGAACAAAAAGGTCGTGGCGGATATGCCGCCTCGTGGCGGATATGCCGCCTTGTAGCGCAGCCTTCTCACCTTCCAACTCGTGGCGGATATGCCGCCCCCGCCCCACCCCTTTGCGCTCCTCCGCCCTTCAGGCGGACATGCCGCCGCCCCCCTCCCCTACTCGGCCCACTCCGCGCCCCCGCGCCGCGTCCCTGCGCCCCCCTCTCCGCCGTCAGGCACTGGATCCCACGCCAACTAACGTCGGGGAGACGCCCGCTGCTCGAACGGCGAAGGCGTTCACCCAGAATGGCCTGGGCGCGCGCGAAGGTACTGACGTTGCCACCGCCCTTTTAACGACGAAAACAAGTGAACCAAGACCTGCACATTCAAAGGGGCGTCGGTTCATTTATATTTCTGGTGCCCAATGCCACCCTCACTCTGCCCCCTCCCCCGAGACCCCGTCGCAGGAACCAGCGGGGCCCTTCTGAGAGGCCCCCGAGGGCTCGAGGAGCTCCAAGACTTCAATGGGTCCATGGGCAACCCCCCCCCCCCTCCCGAAGTCTCGCTTCCGCGTCCGATCCCATTTCGGTTCAAGCCCGCGGCCCGCGGGCGCCCGCGAGCTCGCGCGGGGTCGCCCCCCCCCCTTTCGCGCCGACGCGGGGGCTGGGGCCCGCGCGCCGAGGCTGCGCCGCAGCCACCGCGTCGCGCTTGGCGCCTCACACTGCGGCCGCGGCCATGGCAGACAGCGGCAGCGCGTTCGACGCGTTGGAGGCAGCTGCATCGCCAAAACAAGTGGCCCCGCGTGCGGTCGCCAGGGACGCGCGCATCGCGCGCGAAACTGGCTGGCCGCTCTCGGTCGAACTGTTTTGGCGATTCGGCGCAGGAGATGTTCGGGCCAGCGATGCAGTTGCTCTCCGACCTTGCGGGCGTGGACAACAACGCAGGGGATCGGTCTTCCTCCGCCAGCGGCAGTCAGCCAGCCAGCGCGCCCACGTTGGCGGCGCAGCCAGCGCGATCGCGCAGCCCGCGCGCGCCGCGGGCACCGACGACGCCGCCGCGCAGGCGGGGGCCGACGTCGCCGCCGCGGGACCCGCGGCAGCGGCCTTTCCGCGCCACCCCGCCCTCGGCTCTCGTGCAGGAGCTCGCGTCGCACATGAGGGGCGCGACGCCTGTGGTGGAGGAGCCCCCCGAGGCGGTGGAGGCGCCTCCCAGCGCGGTGGAGGCGTGCAGGGCGCAGCTGCGAGCCTGGCTGAGCGACCCCGTTGGGAATCCCATCGACTGGCGGTCGGAGAACGCGCTCGCCGTGCTCAAGGAGTACCAGATGAAGTACGACTACAAGAAGTTCCGCGACCGCGGCCCGCCTGGCCCCGCCATGGGCGGGCCGCAGACGTGGCAGGGCCAGGCGTGGCGCGCCAATGCGAAGCGCTGGGGGAACCGAGGCGGCGCAAAGCGCGAGATGTACGCGAAGCTGCGCGGCAGCAAGGCAGCGCCGCGGGTGCGCGAGGCGCACGCCCCCAAGCCTCAGCTGATGCCGCGGGAGCCCAAGGCGCCGAACTTGCCCAAGACGGTGCCTCAGCAGGCGCCGTGGAGGACAGGCAAGATGAGATGAACCCTCCAGTTCCGCCTCCGCCGCGGAAGGCCATGGGGCCGCCGCCGCCGAAGACTATGCAGCCGCCAGCAGGGAAGCCCAGCATGGTGCAGCCGAGGGCAGGGAGTCGGCTGCAGCCGACAAGCAAGATGGCACCACCGCCGGCGAAGCCGCGCCCGCCCGCCCGCCCAGATGTCTTCTTGTAGGGTGATCGTGTGGACCTGCAGGCGGGCTGAGGCGCATAGCTTCCGTAATTCGAGCGCGGATAGTTGCAGCTATCCGCGCTGACGCGTCATGGCGCGCCGCCTCTCCCCGCCTCGTCTCATCTCATCTATCCTCCCCTCTCTTCGTTGCCGATCTATCTCGTTGGCGGGCGCGCCGCCTCTCCCCGCCTGGCGGACAACCGCCGTTCAGATAAGAGCATCGGCGCGTCGGGTTTGTTCTATGCGGTTGGAGTTTTTTTTTTTTAAAAAAAAAAAAAAACAAAAAAAAAGTCCTTCCCTGAGCCACCCATTGGCGGCTAAACCGCCCTGAGGCCTCCCTTGGCGGCCACGCCGCCCTGAGCCCTCCATTGGCGGCTAAAGCGCCGCCGCCGCCGCCTGCTGGCATCCCGAAATTTGCGATGCCACCGCGCCTCTTACACAGGTCTGTTTTTGTTGTTGGGACGCTGTATCGGCCCGAATCTAGGCGCGCACAGGCTCGCGGCCCAGCGGCTTCTGTGCTAGCCGCGGCTCGCGGCTCGGCGGAATCGCTGCCATGGCAGGCCAGCAGGGCGAGAAGTCCATCATGTTCGGCTTCAAGTGCCCACAGAGCAGCAGCTGCAAAAGGGGCGGCAAGTGGTTCCAGGGAGAGACAGGGGAGGCGGCCAGGAACAAGCTGGTGAACCACCTTCGCGCGTCGCCGTACCACGACTTGAGCGAGGAAGAAGCGGAGGCAGCTGCTCTCGCAGTCGTTCCCGACTCTTGGAAAGTCGACCTCGCGGAGTGGCGCCAATGGGAGGATGAGAAGGCCAACTGGGGCTCCGCCAAAAGGCGCAAGGGGGCGCCGAAGGTCGAGCTGGCGCCAGCTCCTCCACAATCCCGCGTGGAGCGCTCGCACCAGCTGAAGGACGCGTTCTCGGAGGGCAGCGGATCGTCAGGCGCAGCTTCGTCAGCCACGGCGGGCATGAGGATGTCCACGGCGTTGGCCAGCCAGATGTCGCCCGATAGCATCGTGGTGCTCAACGACACCCAGTGCCAGGCTGTGCTCAACTCGTTGCGCCGCGCGCGTACTGCGACGCAGATGCGCGCCCAGATAGCGGAGCGCGCGGTGAACGCTTTCCGCCAAGAGGAGCAATGCATCGCCGAGTGCGAGGACGTGCTCGCGAGCTGGCTGGTGCGCAACGCGACCTCGTAGGTGCAGGTGCACGGCTGGCAGCACTGATGTCGCCTCAGCATCAGTAGCCTCATTCGCGCAGGCGGCGCGACGCGTCGGCCCTACACGCCCCCCTCCCACTCCTCCAACGCAATTTCAATCCACACCCCTGTGTCAGAACAAATTAGGACATCCCCACACACTCCATCCGCACTCAATTCGTGCAGGCCGCCACGCCGAGGTGAATTTTGGCCGCGCAGGCGGCCGAGTAGCCGCCCCCCAATGCAAGGCGATATGGGGGCGAGTGGGCGAGCGGAGCGGGAGGAAGGTGAGGGAACTTTGGCGGATAAGACAGGTGGGCGGTTGGATGGGATTTGGCAAAAAGGTTGGTTGGAGAAAACTGCATCCGCACAAGAATGAGTGCGGCTTTTTTTGGATGTGCTGCATCGCCATGTCCGCCCACCACCCCCATCGCCTTGCACATGATGACGCTCAGGCAGCGCGCCCCGTTCGCGCGCGCTCGCCCGTCTCTTCGCTGCCGCTCAGGCAGCGCGCCTCGCGTCCGCGCTCGCCCGTCTCTTCGCTGCCGCTCAGGCAGCGGTTTGAAGCGCGCGGCGCCGTCCGCGGTCGGTGGCGCAGGGCGCCGCTCCGCCCCTGCTGCTCCGCTTAACTAACTCGGCGGACGTGCCGCTACGCCGCCGCCATGCATGTGGCAAAAAAAGTTGGTTGCTATCATGTGTTAGCAAATGCTATCACGCGCCTGATAACACCTGTTAACGCCTGATAACATGTTATCAGGTGTTACCAGGTGTTCGCATGGTGTTATCACACGCCTGATAACATATGATAACATATGATAACATGATGTCATTTTTGTGTGGTTGTCATGGTACGCGCAATTCATTTCAGTATCCGTATCACCTCGTGCGTCCGCCACGCTTCGAGCGGCCAGTCCGCTGGCGGCCAATCCGCCTCCCTCGCCGCACCCCTGCACCCTCTCAAGCGGCGAGTCCGCTGGCGGATATGCCGCCCCCTTCATACCTCCCTCCACCCCTCCCTCCACTTTTGAAGCGGCTAGTCCGCTGGCGGCTATCCCTCCTCACTTACCGCGCGTTTTCTTCGTCATCGCTTCGCGTCCATCTCATCTTGGCATCAGTTCTCTCGACAGCACGCGGCCGCGCGCGACGCGCGGCTTCTCGCGCGCCAAGGCGGTCGCGCCGCCATGGCGGGGACGCCGCCCGCTGAAGATCACCAGCAGCATTCTCTGGCAGTGATGTTCGGAGCAGCCAGGCCGAAAAACAAGGGGGTGATGACCACGGCGCCCGCAGCGAAGCCCCGTGGGAAAGCTGAGCCATCGGGGACGCAGATGGCACTGACTGGACAGCTTGCGCCGCCGCCCGCATTGACCGATGCAGGGCCGCCGAAGGCACGCGGGAAAAGCAAAGGCAAGGGCAAAGGTAAGCACCCCGCAGCGTTGAGGAGGACGGCTCGTGCAGCTGCGTCAGCCACAGCTCCCGCCGAAGAACTGCCTCCTCAGGGCGCAGCGGCTTTGCCACCAGAGCCGGACGACGCAGCGTCAGAGGCGGCATCGGGCTCCGAGGAGCGCGGCGACGAGATTGGTTCCGAGCTCGGCGTCAAACAGGATGAGCTTGAGAGTGCCAAGCGTGAGCTTGAGGAGGAAGAGGCTCCACCGCAGGGCGTGGTAGCCAAGGTTGAGAGCCACTCGCCCGATGCTGCGCATGCGAATGAAGAGCGCTCGCCCGAGGCGGCAGCGCCGCAGGCGGAGGAGGGGGAGGCAGCTCAGGACGATCCGCCAGCAGGCGCTCCCCAGGTAGGGGAGTTCGTGGATGTGCATGGCATCGGGGATAGCATCGTGCGTTGCAACCGCTGCTGTCGCACGGCAAAGGAGTACAACTACAGGATCAGAGCGAATGGTCAGTCGACTTACCAGTGCGACGCGTGCAACACGAACGGGGTGCGCCTGTCTCGGAGGTTCGGACAGTGGCCGCCAAAGTGTTTCGCCAAAATGAAGAATGAGTTCAAGCAGCAGTTTCACAAGGATCTGGCAGAATATCTTGGGCTGTCGAACCTCGATCGCATTGAAGCCTTCGTAGTCAGCTCAATCACTGTCCAACGGATGGAGGAGGAGCGCGTCCGCAAGGGTGGCAAGTGCCTTCCGCTGAGGAAGTGGGCGCACGACGGCTTCGACGCGAAAAAGATCGAAGATAATGTGCAGGATAAGAAGTGGAACCCTGATCTCGGGGAGTGGACGCACGGGCCGCAATTGGAGGCGGCCTGGAGCGAGACAGCGGAGGCCGCAGTGCGCAACGAGCTGTGCACCGATAAGATGGCGCAGGCGAAGCAGAGCGGCCCGCGAGCAGCGGCCTCGACGGGCGTCGCAGAGCACGGCGGCGACAAGGGCGACAGAAGCGACGAGAGCGACATGTCCAGATCCAGGCGGCGCCGCAGGCGCAGGTCTGACAGCCGCAGGAGGAGGAGGCGCAGCATGAGCAGGCGCGACAGCAGGGGCAGGCGCGACAGCAGGGGCAGGCGCGACAGCAGGAGCAGACGCCGCGACAGACGTCGCGACACCAACCGCAGCAGGAGCCGCTCGCGCGGCGACCGCGACAGGAGCAAGGGCCGCCGCAAGGGCAGGAGCAAGAGCCGCGGCAAGAGCAAGGACAGGAGCAAGAGCAGGCCGTTTGGGGCTTCAACGCAGGGGTGTCGCCTGGGCTTCGCATTCGTTTTCGGTGTCCGTTCAACTCTTCAGGTTCGGATCGGGTTATTGATTTCGCTCGGCTCGAAGTGTTGTCATTTTCGGACAACCCCGAAGGCTCCGCAGGGATAAGGGCGCTGATAAGGAGCGGGGGCGGCAGGAGGCGAGGGGGAAGGCCGAGCAGGCCAAGAAGGAGACGCAGGAGAAGAACCTGGCGCTGAAGTGGATCGGCACCGCAACGGGGCTCGAGACAGAGCTGGACGGGTACCTCGAGCATGAGAAGGCGGACAAGGTGCCGTCATGGGCTGTGAAGAACGCGAAGGCGGCGAGGAAGTCTGTGGCAGTCATGAAGGCGGTGGCGCAGAAGCGCGTGCACAGCGGCGTGGCGCTGACGATCACGCAGGACGAGGCCATGAGCATCCAGAAGGATGCGAGCTCGGCGGCGAGGGCCATCGCGGGGATGCTCAAGGAGGCGCAGAAGTACGGCACCTGAGCGCCCCATGGTGGCCCAGTACCTCATGAAGTACGGCCTGAAAAAGGTGCCCTAGCAGGTGGAGTAGGGCCCGAATAAGCCGCGGCCGCTGGGCCGCTCGTGAGCAGGGGCGGCAGTTGGGCCGCTCATGACGAGGTGTGTGATTTCGCACAATTGCTACTGTTGGTGAAACAACATTTCTTCGTTTGGCGGGGATGCCGCCTTTCCACTCTCGCAAGCCCTTGGCGGACATGCCGCCTTGCCTTCATTTGGCGGGGATGCCGCCTTTGCTGCTCATCGCGCTCCGATGCCTCACTTGGCGAGGCGAAACGCTTGCATAACTCCCTCCTGCTCGAGCGCGTCCTGCTCGAGACCCTACCGCGCGAGCTGTGGCTCGCGAAGGCCAGCGACGCCGTTGGGAATCCCATCGATTGGCGGTCGGAGACGAAGCAGAGGCGAAGCAGCTCCTTGGCAGGGGCGGCAGTTGGGCCGCTCATGACGAGGTGTGTGATTTCGTACAAGTGTTATTGTTGTTGAAAAACAGTTCTTCGTTGTCATCGCCATCCCACTCGTTACCACCGCAGCCCTTCGTTTGGCGGGGATGCCGCCTTTCCACTCTCGCAAGCCCTTGGCGGACATGCCGCCTTGCCTTCATTTGGCGGAGATGCCGCCTTTGCTGCGCATCGCGCTCGCACCGTTCTCTCGCGTTCCCCAATGACATGATCTGCCACCGCCCCACCCCTCATCCGTAGTCTTTGTGGCTCAAGGAGGGCCGCTCGAGGTCGCGCCCCCTTCGCGGTCTTGCGCCGCTATGGCGAGCATCGCGGGCAAGTACGACGTCGATGACTTCGAGCTCATCGCGACGGATGGCAGTGCTTGGAGCTGGGCGACCATGGTGGCGCGGTTCATCGAGTGGCGCAATCGTTGCCGCCATGCACGCGCCGTTGGAGTCAAGGGCCAGATGCTCATCGACCAGGCGCGGCAGATGATGGAAGAGGCGCGCCGCACCGAGGAGAAGGGCAAGATGATGCGCGAGATGTCGAAGTAGACGGTGAAGGACATCCCAGGCAGCATTCGGCACTTCTGCCGCCAGCCGCACCAGGAGAGCTGGGCGGCGATCGGAGCTGGGCCGATAGAGGAGGATGAGGAGGAAGAGGATGGAGGATGAGGAGAGGAGGAGGAGGGGGATGAGGAGTTGGAGGCATCACGCGCACCCGCACTAAGAGCCGCCAGCCGCGCCCGTCTCCGAGCTTGAAACCCGAGCTTGGCTCTAAACGGCTGCGTGCGAGAAAAAGAAATCTCCCTTGCAAGCTCCGTTGCTACGCTCACTCGCGCCTCCGCAATCCCCCCCCCCTCCCCCTCCCCCCATGCCCGCCCGCCCGCGTTTTCGGCGGCCACGCCGCCCCTCCCGACCCTTCAGGCGGCTACGCCGCCATGCCCTTCGGCGGCTACTCCGCCCCGCGATCCATTCCCGCCTCCACTTCCGTCTCTCTGGCTGCAATTCGTTTTTCTCAACCGCACTGGGCCTCGCGCTGCCCCCCGCCCCCGCCCCTCCCGCGCGCGGGCGTCGGCGCAATGGGGAAACGCGCCCTGCAGGTGGACAAGCAGGTGGAGCAGCGGGCTCGACTGCAACAGTGTCTGGCCCTGCGCGGCGTGTCCGCGGCTTTGCTCGAGCGAATCGTGACTGCGCTTGGCCATGGCGACGACGCGGGCGATGCTATAGACGTGAGCGCTCGGGCCATGCAGCGATCGCAGACGGCATCCGTGGCCGATCTCATCAGCGCAGTGCGGCTGCAGCCCAAGATCGGCACGCCTTTCCGATGGAGCGTGGCGCTGCCGCATCGGCTGATGCCGAGGCTCCTGTCGGACTGCCCTCTCTGGAGTTCAATGTTTTGGGAAGCGATGCGCCGTTTCCCTGTGTCGCGCGATCGGCCGTGGAGGCTTTTGCTGTACTACGACGACATTGGCGTGGGCAACGCCTTGAAGATAGATAATCGTCGGAATCAGCTCGCGGTGTATGCGAGTTTCCTCGAGTTCGGATCCTTCTTGCAGAAGGAGGTTGCGTGGCTGCCGATCGGCACCTTGCGCGTCGTCGTGAAGAAGAGCATCGGCGGCTCGGCCGTGGCGCGGGCATTGCTTCGCGCGCTGTTCCTGGGCCCAGAGAGTCTGTCGGAGCACGGTGCGCCAATCGGCGGCGTGCACTTTTTCGCCAAGTTCCACCGCTTGATTGCAGACGAGGCGGCTGGAAAAGAGACATTCTGCACCAAGGGCGCTGCAGGTCTGAGACCGTGCTTGCAATGCAAGAACGTTGTGCTGGATCTGGCGGAATGTCTTGCACACTACGACGACGATGATTACCTCGTGCCTCTCTGGCGCGCTGACTCGTCGCGCTTTGACCCGCTGTCGTCAGACAAGTTTTTGCAGCAATCTGATGATTTGGCGTCGCTGCGGGACACGACAACCAGAGCGAACATCGAGAGACTGGAGCCAGGGAGGAAAACATTTCCACCGATCCCCTTCTGATGTTCCCCCCCCCTTCCCTTCTGATGTTCCGGCCCCCGAAGGAGACGGCAATGGGCATCACTCTGGATGACCGTTCTCTGGTGGCGTGCCAGGCGTTGCGGACGGTGGCGCCGCCGAGCACATACGTGAGGGACCCCATGCATACCATGCTGGCCAGCGGCGGGACCTTGCAGGTCGAAATCTTTGCGCTCCTCAAGGCGGTGAGGGATGTCATCCCCGACGCGTGGGGAACGTGGCGGGATCGCTGCTCGGCGTGGCGGACTGGCAGACGCGGCAGGAAACCGCCAGCGTTTCTGTTCAGCGTGGCTCGGAAGAAAGCGACCTGCAAGGCGTCGCACTTCGTGGGCAAGGCGTCGGATTGCTTGGCCGTGTTCCCTTTGATTCGTCATTGGGTGCACACAGAGCTGCGTCCCAGCGGCATGGCGAATGCTGCGGCGCGGTCGTTCGCGGCGATGGCGAAGTTGCTCGAATTGTACATGCAGGGCAAAAGGACATGCGGCCGCAGCTGAAACACAAACGCTGGCCTGCGCGTTCGAGGATGCACCGCGTCGGCCCGCGCGCATCCTCGAGCGCTTAGGTGGCAGGCGGTTCGGCTACGTCCTGAGGATCGGCGCCGTGCCGAACTTGATAGCTGTCTGGAACAAGGCCGTTTCAATTTCCTTGGCGCTGCACAAAGCCGCGCACGGGCCAGCCCTGATCAAGCCGAAGCACCATTATTTGTGGCACGTCCCCGACCAGCCTGCGGAGGACGGCATCTGGTTGGACGCCTTCGTGCTCGAGCGGAAGCACAACCTGCCTCGGTCCAGGTCGCAGGAGATCGACAACCCTGCGAATTTCGAGCTGTCGGCCTTGACGGCGATGCTCGCCTGCTTCCTGGAGGACGCGGAGGAGGCGCCGCGCTCCCGCGCCAAAGCGTGGCGCACGCCAGAGCTGGACAGTACGTTCGGGCACTCGGGGCGCAACCTTGCATGCCCTTTGCGGAGGAAGATGGGCTGGGAGAGGGGAAGGCGGTTTGCCGCCGAGGCGGCTTGCCGCCAGGAGGAGGAGGAGGAGGAGGAGGAGGAGGAGGAGGAGGAACCCCTCCGCAGGGCTGAAACGTGGACCAGCAGAGAGGCGTCGATCGACGGCCAGATGTACGGCAGCCAGGACAGACGGCGCAACCAACCTTGGTATTTAGGGGTGCACATGCGTGCGCCCCCCCCAAAAAAAAAAAACGAGGCGTCGCTGCCCTCAGGATTTTCTCCTGGGCGACGGCGAGGCGTGCATCGTGCATTGCTGCGCGCAGGCTGGCGCCGCCAGCTATCTGCTGGTGGAGACCCTGGAATGGGTGCGCGCGCCATGCCCAGGCGCGTCCCTGTGGCGGCCGCGCGGCGACGTCGCCGTGATGCCCGCCGAGCTGATCCCGCCAGCCTGGGCGGCTTATCGGCGACTACAGGACGATGGCTATGTGCTCGCCATCACGTGGAAAAGAAACAAAAACGAGCGCATGCGAGAGCGGATATGCCGCTGGCGGATGCGCCGCCCTTCGATAGAGAGGCGCAGGGGGGAGGGGTGGATATGCCGCCGAAGAAGGAAGGCGGGCTCGGGGAGGGAAGGCGGCGGGAGGGAGCGGGGGCGGGCTGGCCGCCGACAACGAGGAGAGGAGAGAGGAGGCGGTGATGGCCGCCGAGGGGAGGCAGTTTGAAGAATAGTTGATCCCCCCCCCTCTCCCTCTCCCCCCTTCCCCTCCGCGCCCCGCAGGCGTCCTGAGGGCGGCCCGGCGCGTCGACCTGCGGCGCCTTGTCCTGAAAATCGTTTTGCTGTGCTTCCCGAAACATTGCAATATCAAGAACAAACATGAAACACATAGAAAGTTATGCAAATTTCGGGTTAACCGAATCGGACAGCCCACATCGACTTAGCTGACTTAGCTACTAAGTTGGATATGTTGAGGTGTATGTATCGATATACCTTGGCAGTGGTGCCCGATAGCTCAGTTAATAAGATGGATGGTTCTGTGAGTAGTATGTATGGTATGTGGTTGAATATACTTATCTAACAAAACGTTAAGTAGATGAATGCGAAGTTTGATATTTTATATATGTTGAATATGTGAGGTCGACTAGCATGAACCTACATACATCTTCGTTGAAACGATTTCATCGGATATACAACGCTCTTACCGCACTTACACCCACCCGACGGTCAAAGTACCCCCCCCTTCGGCGGGGAGGGTAGGGAGGGGCTTCGCCACGATCACTACGATGCTCGGTTTCCTTATGCATGGGTCGGCTTGGCTGGCGCGGAGGAGGAGGAGGAGGAGGAGGAGCAGGAGCAGGAGCAGGAGCAGGAGCAGGAGCAGGAGCAGGAGGAGGAGGAGGAGGAGGAGGAGGAGGAGACAGCGACGACGAGCCACACGGAAAAGCCCCTCACACATAGGAGTATCATTTCTGATATTTTTGAGGCCCCCCAGGGCTTCCACAAGGCCCACGCAATGCTTTCCACCAATCTGACCCGAA